TGCTGAGGATTGAACCCCAGTTTTTTAGACTCTGAGAATACATTGAGCTACCCAGCTCATATATGGTTGCTGTGTATCCCTGTAACTGGTAGCCACATTTTATATAAACATTCTTTAAATACTTTCACAAGTTAGGAATTTAATTCTTTAACACTTCATAACAAAATCATTTATATATTCCATAACATTCTTAGGAAGTATAAGACAGTAGTATAGAAAATATATCAGGAGGCTGTAGATTATGAAAAATGACATTTTAGGGACCATGGCATTTATTGGCTTTACTTGTTCAGCATCTTCTAACATTGATGCACTATTTTGCATCTTGTAACAGTAAATTGTACAATCACAATTTTCATTTCCTTGCACAGTCAGTTTGTAACTTCAGAAAGAGCCGTCATAGTACAGAGCAGCAGAAATTTATTTTTTATTTACAGCTTGTCTTTCATTAGAGCAGTTTTTAATGTGCAGCCAGTCCCTGTAAGAAGCAATATCGGATTTATGATGTTATGGAATATTAAGTGACCCAGATAACATTCCTCCATTAACTGCAATTGCTTATTTTATAGTGCATAGGTACTGGAAGGTATACATCCCATGCCCATTGTCTGATTGCAGAATTTACCCTCCAATCCTAATATAAAAAATGTAGTTTAATATTTCCTAACCATTCTCTTCAGTACCAAGCAACCTTTGGATATTAAGCATTAGCCCTGCTTGAAACAAATGAACAGGTCAGATAAGATCTTTTGTTGCTTCTGAATTTCCCCTCTACATTCAAGACTACATTGTATCCATTTTTAGATTTAAAGTGCAAATGTTACAGCTTTTTGGGCATGTACACATAGGACACAAGCCTGTCTCTCCATGTAAGCGTCCTTTCATCTATTGATATTTCCTTCTTTAATGTATACAACCAGTGTCTGGTGGTCAGTTAGCATCAGAAGATAACCTCACCAGTGCAAGGATTAGAGGTTTGAAACTATGAACTCTTTATTTCTGATATCAGTTTTCAAACCAGTGTATGAACTATAGGATATAAAGTTTTTATAAATAAGCAAAATTTTATTGTATGTAATTAAGTGTATTTTCCGGTTTTATTTGCTGTTAATTTGTCCCCATTTACATATGCCTTAAAATATATATTTCAGAGTAATGCAAGCCCAAATTTATCTCGGGTTGGAGCCAGTATAACGAGGCGTACCAGTCGAAATGGCCAGATCAGTTTAAGCACCAATAAGAGGCGAATTCCACGTAATGGAAATGAAATTCAGGAACGCACAGTAACTTCTGGTGGTAGAGGATTTGGAATGCCAATTTCAAAAATGGATGTTGACGATATTGAGGAAGGTATTGTACAGTATTACACTCTTCTTCTCCAGTGGCTACATTTTCTCCTTATGAGGTATTCATGTGTAAACCTTGCATTTCAGTAGATCTGTTGCCAGCAGGATCAACAGTCCTGAGACGTACAGTCAGTAATGATAGAACATCGCTTCCCCCACCACCATTGTTTGCTCCTCCTATGCAGCAACGGAGCCTTTATGCGTGGGTGAATCCAGTGTCTCAAGATTCAGTGTCCTCAGTGGAAGAGTATGGCTCCATGACACGGAACTCGATACGGGCTCCCATTCTGCGTGATCCTGTACTGACTTCTCCTGTTACACGGCGAGGGACAATTCAACCTACAAGCCTGAAAATAATTGCCAGGAATACACAGCAGCTGGTAAACTTTGTGTATTTGAAAAATATTCATTGTGATGCATGTCAGTTCTCTTTGTTCATCCATTTCATTGCTTTTCATTTCCAGAAGCATGGACCAACACTGCTCTCTGAGAGGGAGGAATGGAATTATGAAGCCCAGCCACTCAAACATGTTAATGTCCCTCCTGTTTCACGGTATGTTAGTCTTTTGAAGGGCCAACCGTACCGATCTTATTGAACAATCAGTACTCTAGGATTTAAATCATTTTTAAGTAGCCTGAGGACAGAGAAGATGAACTTTAAGTTTACTTCTTTCATCCAGTATAGTAAAATGTGCACCTGTTAATTTTCATGCAGCATTGAACCTGAAGACTCTGACGACGAAGACGACTTGTCTCCCTGGAAACGAGGCAGTGCTTCTGGTAGTACTGGCATGTTGGCTGGCAGAATGAGTTCAGAACTCAAAGCTCGATTGGACACGCCAGTTGTTACTCCTCGCACCATGGGCATTCTTTCAGTTGGTTCAAAATCATCTACCAATACCACACCTTCTGCACCTACTGGCCATAGAATTGTGGTGTCAAACCTGCAGACCAGTGTCACACATGAGGACATTCGGGTAAACTGTCCATTGTCATCTACACAAATAGTCATTTAGTCAAATGTCTTTGAGCTGAAGGATTTTTTAAGTAGAGAAGAGAATGAATTAATAATGAAAAGCATTAGGTGTTTATTGGGCCCAGCTTTGAATTTATGGATAGAAGTTTCACCTTCAGTTGTGAAACAATATTTGTGTATGCAGCAAATGAATGTAAGGAATTATGAGATATGCAAAATTACAATGATTGTATTTGGAAAATATATACTTGGATTGCACCACACTTTTCCGCTCTTCTGGCATGGGCATGTAGCACGAGTTCAGACAAATTTATTTTTTATTTATTCTTGTAATATCTTTATTGAACTTTTAACTATTCCTGATTGTTCAAATACGAGAGGGATATGTTCTTTGTACAGTAGTGTCACATAATCATTTGCCATGGCGTTTAAATTCACCAGGAAACCATTTAATTTAAATATCCTTTAAATCTTTCAGTAGTCCCCCCCCCCAAAAAAAAAAGAATCAAGTGTTTTGGCTTATATATCTTTAAAATTAACTGCAGAATATGTAAGCAGGTAAATGCTTAAAATGTAGTCTGCCTATGGAGTTTTAAGAAATGAACAAGTAGAGATAAAATCTAAATCAGGACATCAGACAAGATCTAAAAGCAAAACCAGAAGATGATAAGATGATATTTTAGTTTTTTACAGTAGTAAAGATGTCAGCATTGATCTTCTGGGTTGTAATGCCATGTGGACTGGCAGTCAGATACCAGAATTTTGGAGGTTGACACTGCCTCTGTCATCAGCTCTGAGGATGGGAACAGCATGGTTCTCTGAAATTGTGGGATTGACTTACAAGTCCACACAATATTACAACCTAGAAGACCAACAGCATCCATATGAAAGAGTTATCATATTAAGGTACAGAGTGATAAGGACAATGACAGAATTTCTCAAGGAGTTTAAAATATGATGTTGAATAATGATTATGGAGAAGATCAGGACAAGGTAGAGAGGCCAAATGAGGAGAGACGTAGGCCTGCAGAAGAAAATAGGGAAGGAGTGGACACATGCACATCTAGTAGCTACTTTAATAGAAATTATACTGATGACGATTTTTCAAATCCAAGTGCGCTCTTTAAGGTATTCCTGTTACTATATTTGTGAATTTTTACATACCATCAGGAGCTCTTTGAAGATATAGGTCCTCTGGTGACATCACGTTTGGTTCGGCCAGGAACAGCAGAGGTGGTATACCAGCTGCATAAAGATGCTGTAAAAGCTGTTGATGTCTATCACAACAGACAGCTGGATGGGCAGCCCATGAAGTGCATGCTAGTGAATTCCAGGCCACCATCAATATCTAGTGCTGGAAGGAATTCAGCCAGGTACCTGATAACTAAGTACATATTCAGGTTGTGTGCACTGTCCATATTCTTTTGGCCTGACTAGCATTTACCTTGAAGGACTTTTTATGTCAGTAATGTTCTGCATGTGCCATTTGTCATATATTAACCATATGTTCTTTGCTCAACTTGCATGAAATGAATGTATTATGGGGAAGTTGTATTCATTTATGTGATTCTTCAGACATATTCAAGAAGTATCACCGAAGTCTGGTTCTGGGAGTCTACACTAAGAGTCTTTTGGTGAATTTAATTGTTGATCCATAGTGATTAAATGCGACACTTTGCATGAAGTTCAGATTGAGCTTTATGAGTTCCGTCAAAAAGCCTCATCACACCAACATTTGTGGAAGCATAAAGTACAGATCTCATGGCAGTATGTTCCTCCAAAATGCTGGTCATCTCCCTACAAGGCCACATGGCATTAAAACCCACAAGACCAACATCCATATATCCTTTGTGGTTTGATTTTTATTACTTTATAAAACTTCACCTTCTACTTGAAATTTACTGATGCTTCTTTCTTGGTCCACATTTACATTGGCATAGTATTATCATACATTAATGCTCTTTTTTAACAGCTCCCGGAGTTCCAGTGGCAATTTGTACAAGCTCCCAACAGGAGGGAAGTCATCAGTCATTCCTGACATAGGGACAATCCACAAGGCTCTCTTCAACAAGTCTTGAAATGTTTACATTGTTAAGGACTCGTATATCAAACATATGCATGTACAGAGTTTAAAGAACAGGCCTGGTGACAAAGTAAATAGTTATAGGATGATGCAAAATAGTTTGCATATTATTACTTTGTGGTAGTATTTTGGCACTGTATCCTTTTATTCCTAATTGTCATAGTTTCATATTCCAAAAACAGTTTATCCAGAGCTCAGTGCAACCTTAGTATAACGAGAATGTATAAAATTAATAAAAGTGCTTGTTCTAATGGGTACTTGTAATATGCTGCCAATAATTCACTGCATATGCAATTGGGAAGATAAACATGTTTTGTATGCTACTTGCTTAGAGATGTTACACATGAAGAAGTTGGAGTTACACCAACTGTCTGTGTTACATTTCAGACCAGTTCTAAACTCCACAATTTGTCCTTAAAACACAGAAGCAGCTGTTCGTATTTTGCCTGTGTTATTCAGAATGGCAAGCAGTGCTAAAAAATCTGCATTGTCTTCCTATTTTTCTCTTTGATTAGTTGCAAAGTTCATGTAGACATTACTTCAGTTTTTTTATTCAAGTCTGAGCACTTCTCTTTGATTCCTGTAATTAATGTTGAATACTTTGTAACTTAAAGCACAGTCATGAAATAGTTTTCAGTTCATGTTCAGAAGCCAAGCAACACAGTGTACACTGAAATAAGCAAATGTCTTTGTCACAACATGCATTGAAAAGCACAGCATCAGCCAGTATCTGTTGCCATTGCCTGTCCTGTTATTACATTAGTAATTTTGGGTTCAGCCACAGACCTGAGCAGATCATTTAGTATGTGCATTAACAGAAGAGTTACTGTGTTTCCTCCCATGATCTGGACTACAGTCCCCTCCTGCCACAGTTTGCTGTTGTCAGACAGCAGCAGAAGACAGAAATATCACTTCCATTGCTTGCAGTCAAGTTATTAGCACATCAAAGATCATAACCAGCGTGTAAAACATTTGAGAGAAATTGTGTTATTGGATGAAACGAAGTCTCCAATTGTCTAAAATATGGAGGCATAAGCTGTTACAATTATATTTAGGAATGCAAACTTTCTTTTCCTAGACTAGGGAGAGAGACAGAGGGTAGGTTAATGATACTTGTGGATCGCCAGTTATAGATTTGAAAGCAAAAGTGAAAATATAGATGTAAAAAGTTGTGACAGAGGTGCCAAAAACTTCATTTTATACACCACTTTTGAAAACTTTAACATTAGCAGATTAATGATGCAAATGATTTTCCTCGCTGTAATGAAGTGCTCGTTCTACTGTGGTTGCATTGTATGTTAAGAAATCTCTGTGGCTACCAAGGTTTTGATTTCACATTGAAGTAATTTAATTAACTCATAATACAAACCAACTGATGTTTATAAAAACTGTTTGATAACTGGAAATTATTTTTGGTCGGCAAGGACCCCAGAATTGTTTTTCTGTTTTCATAACTTACTGACAATTATTCAAAATAATATGTACACGAGTTCAGTGACATGTTTAACTAATTCAGGTTACATTATTCAGTGCAAATAACCATCATAACACCATCAGTGGCTATGTGTAATGTAATGTGACAAAAGTCTGTTTTATTAAACACGCCTCTCGGAAATCCAACATTTTTTTAATACTGTATTGGTGGAAGTATGGGTTTATATACAGATACAGACACAGACTTGTATTGTCAGTAATAAGTGTCTAAGAAAACTGAAAGGATTCAAACTGTATTCCATACATTTATGATTGTTGCTGTTTTTTCCTCATTGTTTTCTATAGTCAGTAACTAGGCACTGGCAAATGCAGTACAGACTGTGCTGATTAGTGCCTAAAACCCAGGCACTACAAGGAATGAAAAGTGAAATCAGTACACCTTATAATAAATGTTAGTGAATGTAATTTGATTATGTCCTTCCGTTAGTGATATAAATTCACGTCTGTGGGCATATTTTCAGTGTGAATAACTTACATTTATATCATGATCTAAATATGTTATTGAAAATAAGCTATCTTTCAGGAATATAAAATAATGAACCAATCACAAAATGTATTTTTTAGGTTTTACCCATCATCCTTAACATTTCCTTCCCTCCATAGCTACTCACCTACAACATTTTTGCACTCTGGTATTTATCTACACTGTTTTATAAAATTCCCACATTTATTGCTTTTAATTTTGGAACAACATGTACCAGTACAAGGGATATTAAACTGTGTATATAAGGCTCCTAAAGACTAGGGCTTTTTATCTAGCAGTACACTTGGTATGTTGTACTGACAGCTTCATTTCTACCAAAACGATTGGTCTACGACTTGCTTTTTAAAAGAAAAGGATGCCAGTGACTATAAGGTATAAATTCACGAGCGAACTCCATGTAGTAAAATAATCTTCAAAAGCTAGGTGGTACAAAACTATGAAATTATTCACAGAAAAACAAAATGTATGATTCTTATGAGCATTTTAATGAAGCATGCTAAGTTTTAAGTTGAATTGTGGTTATATACACAATATTAAAGTTAATGTTTTTGAACAAGGCATGTCATAAACGTGAAAGATGAAGTGTGATGGTTTCTAACAATAGTGCATTATAATTTGTAAAAGTGGTGTTTTGGACTTGTCCATCGTCTACATTTCAATAAAATGATGTTTCAAAGACTAGATCTTCTTCCCTGTCCAGATAAAAAGGGGACAGAAACCATGTTAGGTCCCAGACAGCCCATTTAATAAGCATTGTATTGTACTTGAGATTTATTTTTATTATTGCAAATTATTCAAATTTTGGAATGGCAGATCTCTTTTAGATACAGCATCCAGGATTTTTAAATGTAATATGGTATATTGTGACATTGCATAATCATAGGCATGGCAGTCCCCTTAAATCAGACTGTCTTAGAAGCAGTGACAGCCAGATTCTAGTAAACTTGCCTAAGGCAGGTTCTGATTTCAATGAACTTGAATAAACTTCTTCCTTTATATATACATACATATATATATATATATATATACACACACACACACTATGAATGCATTTTTGTGAATCAGAAGTACTGTTAGAGAAAACCTTATATGCTCAAAATACCTCTATAGAGATAACTCTCCTAAATGAAAGTTTGAAGTAAGAGGTCTCATGAATGAAGATTAAGAAGGATGAGAAGTCATCTGTTAACTAAGTAAACTATTTTTACTCTTCCTAGATTCCAAAATATGACAAGGATTGATATAGCAGTAATTCTCAAGTGCAACCAAAGCTATTATTCTTGAATGATTCAGATATATGAGAAGTAACTAAATGTAAGATATTTTTAAGTTTCATCCTTGGATTGTCCTTCTTCTGCATAATCATGATTAAGCTAGTACCTAAAATGTTTCTCACTACATCCAATGACTGAAGTTACATTTATATTTTAGTTCTTTCCCTCACCTGTAATAAAGATAAAACTTGCGAATGTGAAGAATACCAGTATTTCATTATGGTTCGGATCCAAAGTTATGCTGCACATCCCCTGTCAGCTGTCATCATCGTCACCTAACTGCCATGCATTGTAGTCTGCCATATAGGTACCCCTGCTTCAGAAGTATAATGCTTTATCATTAGTGAACATAAATAGAAACTGAGAGAATCATCAATTTTAAACAAGAAGGCTTGTGAATGGGAAAACAGAACTAAATGAAGATTATGGAGTGAGGAAAGTAAATGAAAATTATGGAGTGCTGAAAGTCTCAACTGATCAGAGAGAGAGAAAGCCACAGACAGCAACACCTGCAAAATAATTGTCATACATAAGAATGCATCCACAAGTAGAATAGAAGAAAGATCACTGACACATTCTTAGCACATATTTGAAGTTAATTTGGTTTTCTGAATATAAAAATGCATTTAAAAATATTTAAATCCATCCCACACTGTCAAACCCTATTTCTTTAAAATTCATATTAATATTATACTTCAGTGTCTGGTTTCTCATGTTACATTTTTCCAGCTAAAATTTATAGCTTTTCCATGCATTCTACATGTCATAACTGCATCCTTGATTTAATGACTATCATCTTCATTAAATTCTCACTACCGATCTGTTACTTCCTCATGCGCCAAAATACGCTAAGTGCTTTTTTATTACTAGACACAATATGGACACATCTAAGAAAAGTACAAGGGCCACAGAATGTCATGGGGAAAAATTATGAGCAAACAATGTAAAAATGAACATGAGAAGATCAGAGTGGCTTTTAACACAAAGCAGAGCGAAGAAGGAAGAATATTTACTACTGTTACTGAATGCAGTAATATATATCATCAAAACAAAGAAAATTTTCCCATAAAAAAAGGAAACTTAATTTTGAAAGTGAATAACAGAATACACTTGTAAAAATCACTTCACCCATCACAGTTTTTCTATTTTACTTACCTCTTAGAAGAGGACAAATGTAAACAGTAACCAAATAATTGCCCTGAGATGAAAACCAATGACTCCTGGGATTTTTAGTATTTCTGGGTGCTAAGTTGGTCATTTGTGTGTGTATCAAGTTACAGAACTCTATAATGTGTACAAATATCCAAACCTGTGGCAATTCCCCATGATTTTTATTAATCTGGATACTCACGCATAGCCCTTTATTTGCACTGAATTTCAAATCTAAAGTGCCTTAGAAAGGTGTGCTGGATGGAAAGGTACTTGAACACTCTTGAATTATTCTACACTATGACTTGATTATACCCAATAGAATATGAATAGAAAATTAGTTTAACAATGTTGATTCACCCCTTATATTGCAGGATGCTTCATATAATATCATTTTTCATTACTTAGTTCGCAAATAATATTGTGATATACCTGTAACTTTTAAACATCATACAAGAAAATGAAATTTGAAACTCTTGTATTAATGGGCAAAATAGCTGAAACCATTCATAGATCTTTAGGAATGTTCAAACATTCTTTTGCTTAATGCTGCTTTTATACACATAATTTACAATACAATTGTTGCACATACACTAAATGATATTTTTTTTACAAAGCTTGGTTAAAATACATGAAAAAATATACACATGGCACAAGAGGCAGTTCATTACACCTTCCACCAATGTCCACATACAACTTCCACATGAACAAGGCTGATTGCAGAATTTAAATAATTGTGGTTGTTATGACATAAGGGATGAAGGAACACTTGGCACTACCTCAACACCATACCTCTGTTCAGTTTAATTTATGATTAAAACCCTTACAGTATGTCTCTTTTTAAAGGCCATAAGGCAACATAAATTTCTCACCTCACTTGTTCCAAAATATTATTTATGATAGAAGCCAAGAAGCACAGACAGCTTTGTCTGTTGCTATTTCACTTTCTGTAGCCATTTGTAGGGATGGGACGATTACTGCATTTCTGAGGTCCAAGGCGAAGAACTTCGGCGTAAGATTTTTCGAGACGTTTTAACTTGGCAACTTCCTGTGATGCAGAACTAATGAATGGCTGGAAGTCCCATGTGCTCTGTTGCTGATGTCCTAACCTCTGATAAGATGACTGCTGAAAGAATGAGGGCTTTTGCTGGCTACAAGGTGAATTCTGAATCTCTTGCTTTTTCCAAGTATCAAAAGGCATGGGTGATTCCCCTCTTATAGGTGATTGGCTGTATCCACCTCTTCCTTTATCAAAATTCCTCACCTCCCTCTTCCTCCTGCCTCTGTTGGCAGATGTCACACTAGTGCAGCTGCTTACAGAAGGAATTGATTCTATCTGTTCCACTCTTTCTGCTACAGTTGGTTTCAAGGTTTTCATGGGAGAATTCTTTCTTCCATGAGACTTCTTTCTAACACCCACACCAACAGACAGATATTCCAATATGTCTTTCTTTGGTGCTGCTTTAGGTTGGGGTAAGTCAGTTTCTTTGGCTAAAGAATCATTTAAATCTTGTGGGTTGCATCCAGCAGCTGTATGCTCCACTTTAGGATCTGACTGCGTATCAAGAATAATTTCTTTGTCTGCTATACTGCCTGCAGTGTCCTCATTGCTTGTCGATTTGTTTGGAAGATCAGGATTTGATACGTGTGCATTGTTACTACTGTTTCGTTTATGAAAATCATTTGGAAGTTCTTCTTTTGATGGAGTCACTGGTGGAACTTTAGGAGCCTCTGCTACAGGTGTCAGATCTTCCAACAGTGGAAGTTGTTCACCCTCATCTTTTGCTTCTGCTGCCCTCTTGAGTACAGCAAATATCTCACGGAATAGTTGACGATACTCGGGTGTCTTTCGGAAACGACTTTCTATAGGGCTGGCATCATCGTAGATACTGAAGCGACAATCATCTCCATCAGCAATTGAACAAAGAAATGAACCTGGTGGTAGGTGTCCCTCTGTTTGTGTTGCCTTGTTGCTAATCTCATCTGAAAAACCAGACGATGATGTTTCTGCTTCTGAGAAGTCTGTTGGAGTTGCAGAAAATGCTTTTTCAGCCTTTTTCTCTGTATCAGTCTCTTTCTTACAACTCTTACTAGGAACAGCTGACTCAATGCCTTCATTGTCACTCTCTGCATCTGCCTCTACTTTTCCATTAAAGCTGGAGAAGTCTCCTGATAACTGTAGTTCTTCCTGCAAGGACAGACAGTTGGTGCTGGGAGCAACATGATGTTGCCTGCCTGGGGCTGGACGCCGCTGCATCTCAAGCAGTGCTTCATACTTCTCAACCAGCACGCGGTATGGATTGTCACGTGTCTGCCCCTCCTCTATAGAAGGATCCTGTGTGTGAGAAATGAAGAGAACAGCTCCAGACAATGTTGAAGTGTCAACAAAATAAACTGAATTTTCATAAGAGGATGTTTGAAAAAAATAAGGTAACAAGCACCCCTATTGAAGGACTTCCATTTTTACAGATGCATGTCTGATGCATACAAATAATTTGGTACAAATCACTTTTCCATAATCACCACAGATGTTTGGCCCACTGTAACACAAAGGCATCTGTCTATGTGAGGAAGAAATCAGTGTCAAGCACCCTTAACAAGAAAATTACAGTATGTTGCAAGACGCCATCGGCTAAAAACTGCTTACCAGCCAGGTGCTTCTTTAGGGGTCTGAAGAGATGGATATCGCTTGGTGTTAGGTCAGTACTGTACGGCAGTGGGCAAGAACCTCCCATTCATGTAACATCCAACATACTGTTACCTTACATTTTGAAACACCCTCATATATTGAAATAAGATTCAGAAGCATTAACATAGCACAGCAGCAGGGCATAATTAAAAAAAAATCTGTGTTCCTTTATAATTCATAGCAAATATTATACTTTGTACCAAGAGAGGAACATTTTATAATTAGTACTGACATAACACACTTTCAAGGCCAAACACGTCTGCTATCTATGGATCTAGTGACTAATTACATAATATCATCTTTGTTTGAATGAGAAGTGCTTGTGTATTGCTATCCAGCCCAAGTTGCAAACAGTAGGCTAGATATAGCGGTATTTATGACTGCTGGGAGGATACAGAAGCAAACATGTTAATACCAAGGTGAAGTTACCCAAAGTTACCTGCATCTAAAAATACTATGATGGTATTTGGGAGGAGCAGAGGTGAAGTTGCACATATTTTAAACCTGAGCACAATGTGGAGGATAGCAAGCGATTAGTTTAACTTAAACAGCAGTGAGCATTTCATTTTATTAAATCCTACTTTGGGTTAAGGCACAGGTTCATATTAAGCATATTTTTAGAAGTTCCTGTCAGCAACAGCTGGTTAATTACAGACTTGTCTTTTCCAGCATGTTAGTGATCACACCAAGTCCAGTCACTTGCAACAGACTGTACATACCTACATGCGGTGTCTCTTTATTGGAAACCTACACCATTTGAAAAGTATGAAGGCCAACTGATTCCACAGCCCAAGCAATACAGAGAGCAGGTAATGATCAGACCATAAGTAAGACAACTGTGACATATTGCATTCACCCTGAGAACATAAGAAATTTTACATTCATATCTGTGCAAAGAACACACAACTTCAGAGTAAGAGGTAAAGTTGTCTCTGTGTCTAAGCTCCACATCATGAAGGTATATGGGGATATGGAAGAAGAACTCCATGTCTTCAAACATAAGGAGTTAGATGGTCGTGTCCATGCTCTGGCCACTTCATCCCCAAGCAAGTACACTTCTGTAACTGTATCAGCGACACCTAATCTGGATACAGCAGTGGAAAGAGAAGTCCCTTCCACAGTCATGAACTGAATTTTATTGAATAAGTTGACCCAGAAAAATGAATATAACAAGTTAAGCAGTGACATCTGCAATAAAAGCTATAAGCTTTCTGAAGTAATGCTGTCTTGGATGTGTAGTCACCAGGTTGGAAGGAAAATGTTATAGCATTTTCCATGTGTTTCTGTACTACAATATTAACTCAATGGCACACTTTGACAGACGTCAGTCATCCACTGTTTGAGTGACATTAGCTACTTTTATGGCTAAGTAATTTAAAAATATGCATCACTTAATTACTAAACATCAATTTTGGGACAGGTTTGAGCATCTATTTTGTAGTATTAATTTTATATTCCTATTATGAGAAAATCAAGTAGTATGTCACCAAGTTGTGCCAATACTGTAAAACATTTAAATATAGTTTACGGGAAAATATCATCTCGCACAGCCAGGATTAACCAGTTACAGTAATGCCTGACAGATATAAGTGAGTGACTAAAACTGCATTTTGAGACTGAATTCTGTATCTCTCAGAGCAGCTTCCAGAATTTTGCTTAGTTCTGAGAGTCACTGCTGCCTATGATTACAACTAGAAGTAATACAAACAGAAGCCTGTAACTGTGGCCACGCACTTAGCATGAAGGCAGGTAAATAAAACAAAAATTTGAGGGTCTAAAGTGTTACAAGGTGTAGTTAAAGAATCCATAAATAATATCAATAATAACAGTACAACAGCACAAATGAAAAAGCCCATTTTATCAATCTGATTCACAGATATTTTACCCCTGCTGTTTTTCAGTACAGGAAGACATGAACTGTGCCCCCAAGTACCTGAATCTGGAGCATAATCATGCTGCGGTGGGTTTCACTCACAACAGAATTCACCACACTACCATCTTCTTCTTCTTCTTCATGGTCTAGCATCATTGACAGCTCATCATGACCTCTGGAATCCATGTTCCTTAGGCAGCGGCCACACAAGTGTCCTTGCCTAAAAGAATTGAAATAATCAAGATTCAGTGTCATACGGGGCAATTCCAAGGAACCAATTGTGGAATATTCTATGGTGCTACCACAGAATTTGACTGGAGGGATTAAGTAAAATCTATAAAAAAATAGGTCTTCAAAGTATAGGCTCAGAATATTAAGAGTTAGCCATTCAATTACACCTAAAGAAAACTGTAAAAGGATTAAGCATGGCTAACTAGTAACCCGACTAAGACTGAAACCAGTGAAGTCTTGAAAACAAGTTTTGAGTGTCACCACTACACTAACCCGATCAATAGGGCTCTATTTTAATCCTGACAGTAGTAAAAGGCTTAACACACCTGACTTCTTCCAAAGTAGATATTTCTTCTTGCAGCGACTTCATATCTTCTTCCTTCTGTCGCAACAAGGTTAGCTGTTCCTCCAGAGCCAAGTTCTCCTAGTGAAACAAATGTAGCGAAATAAAATCACAATTCAGCGTGAGAATTATCACCACCACTACAACATTCACAATTTCTTTGTAAAATAAAGCAGCTGAATCAAAACATTTTTATGCATATTCAGATCCCTATAAAGTGCCTATTAAAATACCTCAATCCATCTGCCTATCTGCATGAAACAACTTGGTAATGGCTCGTGGATTTTAATGAAATTTGATTGGGCAGTTCTGCTAAAATATGCAGTACAACTTAATTTCAGTTAAAATCTCTCAGCAAAAAAGGGTAGATTTCAAGAAAACCTAAATTCCTTCCTGCAAGTCAAAGTGACTGAGTGGGGAATCTTCAAGCTACCTTTGTTACCACGGTTATTATGGTTTCCTAGGTTAAAGATCAAATTTTTATGAATGTGGCATTTTTCCTAACTTGTTCCCTATAAGATAGGATTCTGTTTAACACAGTTCTAACATCCAATTACAGAAATACTGCACATACAGATCTTTCGTGTTCTGGATTCCTGGCTTCCAACCATTTTGTAATACCGCATTTGACATGTTATAGAACACAAGCTACAGCACCTGGTGAGGATGAGGTCAAACCTCTCCCTGTAAATGTGTCTGCTTCTGGCTGCTTACATATACCCCCCCCCCCCCCTTCTATTTATTTTTTTTACCTGCAAGAGACCAGCCAATTGCTCTTCCAATTCTGATATTTTTCGTTGTTCCTTCACTCTCTGAGACCTTGATTCCTGAAGCTGCTCCAGCAACCTAATCACTTCTTCATCTTCTGCATTCTCCTTCATGTCAACACCTTCATCTCCATGCTGCAAGCACAATGCTCATACTATACTAAGATATTACGTACATGGCCATACCATTTTGATTCCTATTAGTACCTACATTACGTAAAGTTAAGAACAGAAAAACAATTTAAAAAAACTCATTGTATAAAAGACTGAAGACATACAGCACAGAACTTTGGGGCAATTTATTTAAGTATAATGTAAAATACCTGCAATATGATTGCCTTAGAATGGTTTGTATCCAGAATAAAACATCAACGAAACAAGCAAGATGCAAAGAATGCATTTGGAAAATACGTATACCTCCACAACCCACCTGGTCTGCCTCATTTTCCAGTTTTATATTAGGGCCACTGGAGTTCCTATTGTCTGAAGAACTCTTCGATCTTTGCTGACGTCTCGCTTGACTATTTTGCTGCAGAGTCACCTCATCCAGGGCCCTTTGAAGCTCCTCACATCGTGATTCTAGCGAATCTATACTCAAGCACAAACTGTAACATCATCATCATCAGTCTGATAATATCTACTCTCATGAATTAGGTTACTGCTCATTAAATCCCTTTACCGACTAAGGTATCAATAATACAAGATTATGCACTAGCCGCCCTCTTACCTCTTGATATGTTTCTTGTCTGCCGAATTTTCTAGTGCCAGTCTCTGATTAGCTCTCTCTAGTTCTTGAATGCTAACTTCCAGTTGTTCGTAGATTCGGAGTCTGGAGTCATTCACTTCCCGCAGTGCTGCAGTCTGCTTTGTGAGATACTGAAGATGAAAGGTACACACATTTTATCCTGTTTTATTCAGGACATACTGATTCAGCTGTCATACCTTCCCGTATCATGCTCGCAGAGTGAAAGAACATGCGATAAGAAAATGTAACCAGCGAATTACACAATTCCTTGCAGTCTCAAAGAAGAACAGAAAATAATTATAGTGAACTAATTACTAGCTCGTAGTTCTTGATATGAACCATTTCAAACTGACAACACAGGAATCAGAACAGTAACTAGGAAAAAGTTTATTTCAATTTAAACAAGTCAGTGGGAAAGGAGGTTTGTAAATGCATTTCTGTGCATGTGTAGGCGTGTAAGTTCCTTCACATTGATGTGCCTAACAACTAAACCTTCACTTCATCCCAATTTCCCCATCATCAGATGCGAAAGCCTTTCACTTGCAGATGACACAACCTTCGCTTCCTGATTTCCATTTCATTGTTTTCCAAGTTTTCTTTATCAAGACATCACATGCGTTTTTCCAGAGTATTCATTATCGTAGATTTTTTTAGAGATGGCATTTTCTGTAGCTTCCTAATCCTCACCGTACCCCATTTCTCCAATATTTATTAAAATCACCTTTACTTTACAGCTGTTGTTTCAAATTTTTGAACAGTCATTGGATGGTTAGTAATCCCACTTCATACGAAGGTCTAAGTTTCAAGAGTTGGATTCTGTACGGTTAACGATGGTATGATATAGAAGGAGTTACTGCGTTTTTGGACTTTTCGAAACTTTGTGTGAATTTTAACCTTGGATGATGGACAAAGTCCAAAAACCCAGTAACTCCGAAGTTTCAAGAGCATTACCCAAAGACCAACTACCTTAACAGGTTATTTTCGATTCTCCTGCCATTACAAGCAAGAGCTGGGATAGTGACTTAAAATGGGCCATGGTCACTTCCTGCATGTACAGTGATTATTCAGGCATAAATCAAGACTTATAATTTATACAAACTTCAATCTCCTGAGTCTGGTCCTCTATTATGTTCTGGTGCTGCTTCACACTGTTCTCCAACTCCTTGTTCCTCTCCAGAAGCGTCTTCCCAAGCTCTGCTGCCAACTGGAGATCTGTAGGCACAAAATGCAAAATGCAGCACTTACAGTGTTTCATGTCAAGGATCCATAATTTTTATTGGTTGAACAATATCCTCCATGAACAGGTGATATTCAGCTGACTGCAACATTCATTGTTGCAGAATCCAGAGGTTCTGTAATGGGACTGCAGTAACAATTAATGTGCAATTGTTCATGCTGCTTCAATCATTTTCCCTTCTAATATAAACCAATTTGAGTGCAATTATGGGCAAACTATTTGGTGCTGTGGAAGTACTGGCCACACCTTGCTGAAAACATTTATCTCAGGTTTCAGTTCTAGATACAAATTCAAATGCAGTGCGGGTCCATCCATGGTCAAATACTTTTTTCAGTTACTTGTAGAATCACTATCAGTTTCCTAGAATTGTGACTTCACCCACACGCCATGTTTGCAAATTACAACATTTATTGAAACTTCATGTTATTTTATTTAATACTATTGTATTACTAAAATTATTATTAGAGCATGATCACGGCTGAAGGTTAATCTGATACTTAACCCTGTCCTGGGGCTATTAATTCTGTTTACATCTCCAAAGCATATTTTCCTGCCACCCACTTCAATGTTATAATCTATGAGGTTCCGGGTTCTTATAGTGACGAAAACGTCAATGTTGATCTTCCGGGCCCATTTTACAAAACATGTGACAATAAATATATATGTATTAAGATTTGCGATTTCTATATGACATTTTCGAAGTGACATACTTTCAAATACGTTACATGGCAAAATAATTTATGTGCCAATTAAATATAACATCTGAGAAGTTCAATAGCTTTGTTAAGCAGCAATTTGACTAGAAGGACCATTCTGCAGAACCCAGAATATAGAATTCCCGGCAGGAAGCCACAGACTCGCTGCAGTTCCGCGTTCATTGCGCCAGGAAACCGTAAGATATGCTTTGGGCTGCTACTTTCCCCTCCCACAATTTGCGTGCTTTAATTAAACGTCTGTTAAGATGCATAAAAAGTAACAGTTGTCAATAGGCTTGCGTTTCCAAGGTTTCTCCAAACTAAAAACGCTTCCATCCATGTTCCTTTTCTTAAGCCCAGATTTTATGCCTGGTTTAACTCTTCATTAAGAGTGAGTAGGAGCTATACTACCTCTCCCTCCAAACGCCTACATGGCGTGCAGCGGGACAGCTTTACTCTACGTACTTTAACATGTCATTATAACTAATAGGGCGCTATGGAACGTCAGATTTCTCGCCCCTATTTAACATTTTACAACACAGGTGACTCTGCTGCAGTTATGCGTCTCGTTTGTTCTCGTAAAAATCGACTGTTTCCTTCAACATCTTAACTGACTGACATTTGTAATGCAGAAGCGGAAATAGGAATCGAAGTGCTATGACGCGAACGTAGCGCCAGTCTAAGGCCTTAAGGAGAACTAGAATTTCTGCGAGGAAACTTTGTACATGTCCGTGCCATAACACCGTTTGATAAGTAACAATTCCTAAATTAGCTTGGACTTGTCAAATCTTTTTTTAAACAACGCGTATTTATATTAACGGACTGCATATCATCGGTTGAACCCGTATTATGGCCTTTTATACTATTCTAAGAAGCTATTGCGTCATAAGGACCTTTGCCATCGAGAAGTCAAATTTCCCGTTTCTGTTTTATCACTAGGCGTAACATCTAATACTTACGTAACCTGCACAAAATGGCAGTACGAGCAGTAATCATTTGCCGGTTTCCACGAATGTTTTAAATAATATATCTAAATGAAAATAAATCAACCCTAAAGAATCATGAACTGATAACATAAGAAATAAAGACAGAAATAAACAAAAATACTTCGTCTGTATCATTGCCCCAATTCGAACTGTGCTCTTCTGTAATAGTGAAGGCGTTGTTGCTGCGCGAACAGCCGGCAGCAATAGGAAACCAAATTACACGGCTAATTAAGAGAACACAGGACCTCCATTATTCTCCGTACAGTGAAAAGTTCTGTTGTCAAAACTAAAAGAAAAAGAAATACTACAGGAACAGAATCACAAATAATTGCCCCCTCTTGATATGACTTAGTTATGTCATGTACCAATCTTCTGTGTTGTGAAAGTAAAAAAATTAATAAGATTGTAACTTACTTAAAACAAGGATTAATTACAATGAAAATTAAATTCACCCCACAGTTATCTGGTTTAGTAATCAGTATTTTGCCCATATAATGACTTTAGCACGATTATCAGCGGAAACAGCTATTACTTCCTTAAACAGGACTGACCATCTGGTCTTTAAGAAGAAATGCTGTGTTTTCTTTGAGGTACAGGCTAAATTTGTAAAGATTATTTAGACGAGTTTCGGGCTTCAAAGGGTTCATATGGGACTAATATGCAAAAAGGATTACATCACACTTAAAGCAGTAAAATAATTAGCGTTGAAGTTTGATCAGGATGACAAGTCGCTCTCCGTGAACACATTACATCACACCTGAGAATAAATATATGAAGAAAGTCGCAATGTACTGGGAACTCATTTATTTGCCTGCCAAGACCCAGGGGCTCATGTCAACTATGATAGCCGTGTTGGCCGGGTCAACACTTTGAGTACGAAACAGGAAGTTTTCTGTTTTATTTTGTGGTCCAGTGGTACTCCAAGCACTAGAACACAGCAGAATCTATCAGATACAATTCATACTAAACCTAAACTAGTTGGCCAACAACGTCTGGCTCGCTGCAACTGGCTAACGATGTATTTTCCTCAAGCTAATTTCCACAAACCTTCAACATCCATTTGAATCTACAAATCATCGAACATATTTTTAAGAGTATTAGCAATGCAGTAAATACTATTTAATATGAAATTAGCATTTAAGGACATGTTAACGGATATTTAAATGCATTTTGTATGTTGTTATAATTTATAATTTGAGATTTTCACGGCGGTGTGTTCAAAATTTGGTCTTCAGAGTTGTTTCGCTGTGTAATTCTGGAGTTATATGCCTACACAAACATTAAATGCGTAAATTCTGCCTCCATCCTGAACATAACAGTACAAAATTATTGCAAAGTATTTAATATTATCACAATTAAACTTAAGATTTGAAATTACCTGTCAGGAATAGTTTTATCATTTGACATCGAGTCTATCGGAGAAAGATTGTTTTTTTTTTGGTTTGTGTGTTTTTGCGTTATGGGGCGTCTTCCTACAATAAAACTAATCGAAGTATGCTTGCATTCATGTTATGAAATTGCAGGTACAAGTTTCTGAAACACACGTGTATATCGAACGCTTAAAATAATGTGTGAATCACAATAAATCATTTGTCACTACAACCTGACATCTGAAACTAATATCGTGGCATATTATAAACACTAGTAATACTATGAATCCTGAAGGAGGCAACAATTCGGAACCGCACAATACACCACGCCGACAAAGAGCGTCTTTGCACTTCTATTAGAAACCAACTTCGTTTAAAAAAGCTCGGACCACATTAAAAGTACCATAAGAAAATTACTAGAATATTTATGTATCGGTGTCTCATTCTTTCACATTTCCCGTTGTCCTAATTAATCATGTGGCCGACCCAATGCACTAATTAACTTTCTACTCGTTTCAGCTGAAACGCGAGAGGAATGCGAAATGTGTAAAGCGCGATACGTCAGTTACTTGTTTATTACTGTGCACGATTCTATTTGTAACAATCAAAAGGCATAATCCAATTTGCAGTAACCACTGATTCAAGTACGTTCAGTAGCCTTCAGTCTACTTAAAAATTTCCTTCAAATCCAAGTCCATCATCGCCCTGATGATGGAGGCAGTAAGCACCTCTGAAACGTCGGTCAGCTTCTAAGAGATTGCACGGAGAAATAGATTAATAGATCCTTCCTGAGAAAACAGGAAATATGCTTGCAAGGCCTAAAATAATATCAGAACGAATGGCGTTACTTTTTACGGGGAACATTAAGATAACACGATTGCAAAGTATGGAAACACATCGTTAATCCAAACAAAGAAGCTAACCTGCAAAATAAACTTTTTATTGGAGGCAAAAATAATTTGTTTCCAGGTGTAGGGTGTTCTTACGGTCGTAAAAGAACTTGCCAAGAATCGCTACTCTTGTTTAATCAAAAGTTCTCTTTACATCTTCAGTAAAATGCCTTACATTTGCCTCGACGACACATAATCAACATTTTATAAGAACATGTCAATCCCAGTTTGACGAACGGATCAGAAACTTGCAAGTAGATAACGTACTCCGAGCATGCGAAATGAGATGGAGAACATTTTGCAAAATACTGAGTATGGCTTCTATAAGCTATATCCATTTAATAATTTCTATTCATTAAATAAACTAAATTCTCGCATTCGTATTGGACGTATTACAGCCTATTATATATACGACATCGAAGAATGAAGTAGAATAATTTACCGACACTCTTGGGGCGTCTTCCTACAATAAAACTAATCGAAGTATGCTTGCATTCATGTTATGAAATTGCAGGTACAAGTTTCTGAAACACACGTGTATATCGAACGCTTAAAATAATGTGTGAATCACAATAAATCATTTGTCACTACAACCTGACATCTGAAACTAATATCGTGGCATATTATAAACACTAGTAATACTATGAATCCTGAAGGAGGCAACAATTCGGAACCGCACAATACACCACGCCGACAAAGAGCGTCTTTGCACTTCTATTAGAAACCAACTTCGTTTAAAAAAGCTCGGACCACATTAAAAGTACCATAAGAAAATTACTAGAATATTTATGTATCGGTGTCTCATTCTTTCACATTTCCCGTTGTCCTAATTAATCATGTGGCCGACCCAATGCACTAATTAACTTTCTACTCGTTTCAGCTGAAACGCGAGAGGAATGCGAAATGTGTAAAGCGCGATACGTCAGTTACTTGTTTATTACTGTGCACGATTCTATTTGTAACAATCAAAAGGCATAATCCAATTTGCAGTAACCACTGATTCAAGTACGTTCAGTAGCCTTCAGTCTACTTAA